ATTGAAATCATCATAACAGATGTTAATACTAATATTGAAATATATAAATTGAAGGTGCTTTAATATTTTATGGTTTAATTGTAAAATATAGCCAGTATCTTGTACGTGGTGACAATATTAGCCACTATTTTTACGAATTGGCAATATTAGCCAATAACTTTCAAAATTTTGGGGTTATTACCCATGTCCGACTAAATTCGATGGCTATTGTTGCCACTACGTAAAAAGATACTGACTATATTTTGCAAATTATCTGTCGAATTTGGTTGGATTTGGGTAATAATCTCGAAATTTGGAAAGTTATTGGTTAATATTGCCAATTCGTAAAGATGGTGGCTATTCTTGCCACAGTGTACAAGATACTTGTTATACTTTACAATTTAGCCATATTTTATTTTGAATTATTAAAAAAAAGTAAAAATGTACATATAATAGTAATTTTGCATGTCTTAATTTTTGCCAATTATTTTCTTATCGTTTTTTTAATTACCACAAAATTTGGCCCCACCTCATTCCATTAACTGGATTCGCCCCTGGTTTTAGATATAAACTCCCTACAATAAAGGATTTTATTAAATTTGACATGCAGTTTATAAATCACACCTTTTCAAAAATTTGAATTTTTCTGTTTAAATTTTTGTGATTTCGAATTGAAATCCTCTGTAAGAGTAATTTATAATTACAAATATGTTATAAACTTTTAAACATGTTTTTCGGGTAAAATTTTTTACACATTCTATAGATTAAATTATATATGTGTATGATATATTTAAATGTTTTAGACATGGTTTGGTTACAAAATAGTTTAGAAAAAAATTAATTCAAAATTTTTAAGAATAATATATGATATTTTACATAATCTTATATATATGATATAATATTTTAGGTGTTTTCAATATTTAAAAAATACATGTTTTATGTTATCTTAGATAAGATAATTTTATATTTTAAATTATATCTCATGTTAACCCCACTTCTTTAATTTATAATTATTATTTAATATTTTTTACTCACTCATTAATTTATAATTATCATTTAATATAGTTTACTCGTACTCACTAGTTTGTAAATAGTTCAAAAACATAACATAATTTGGGTAGCTTGGGTGACCAAAGTATGAGTCAGTTTATCTAACTTGATTATTGAAATTAAATATAAATCAATATTAAGAATACATTGTTATCATAAATATCATTCAATCTAAATAATTGAATTAAGAATGTTTTTATGAGGACAGTTCAAAAATTTACGAATATCTACACACATTTCATTAATATTTACGAAAACATAATGATATTATACTGAAGTTTTAATGATGTATCTGGTAAATTGTGATTTGTGTTATTCATATACTAAACCTACAGTAATATAAAGAGGTTGTTGAAAAAATACTTAAATAGTAACTTTGACTTAAAAATAGTGTTGCCTTACTAATATAAGTAACATTCTATAACCCACATATCATAATGATTTTTAAAAATTTTGGTAATTTTTTTAGCCGAAAAGATGGTAAGGGGGTTCGAATTTGTGATCATTTTTATTTTTTTATTTGTAACAACCTTTACAATATGATTAGATTCTTTGGGATTTTTTCTGTTTTTTGTTTTTCTGTAACAAATTTCATAATTATTTACACAAAATCTCTAGCAATTTTGGTGAATATTTTAACCGAAAATTTGGTAAGTGTTCGAATTTTTGAGTATTGTTTTATTTTATAACCTTCACAATATGATCAGATTCTTAAGGGCTTTTTGTAACAAATTTCATAAATATTTACACAAAATATGTTGCCGAATTTTTGTAAGGGGTTCGAATTTGTTACCATCATTCTTTTTTGGAACAACCTTCACAATATGATCGGATTCTTCGGGTTTTTTTGTAACAAATTTCATAATTATTTACACAATCCATGGCCAAAATTTTGGTAGGAGGTTTGAATTTTTTAGCATAATTTTTTTTGTAACAACCTTCACAATATATTGGATTCTTTGGGATTTATTGGTAACAAATTTCATAAAAAGGTTGTTGGAAAAATATATAAATAGTATTTTTTGACTTAAAAAAATAAATAGTTTACTTACTTTTATAAGTAGCAAATTAAAACACACAAGTGATATATTACTTTTATAAGTAGCAAATTAAAACACTTTTATAAGTAGCAAATTCAAAATTGGATAATTGGATTGTATATTACCAAGCCATTTTATTTGGTAACCAAATTGATCCACTTATTATTTCCTACCTAAATCTATGTGAAGCTCTTTAAAATTAAAGATTTTTAGGTTTTTTCAAAACTCAAATTAATAAATATCCCATAAAATTGGAAAGCGTTTGAATTTGAAAAAAGTGGGATTTGAATGTGATACAGATTAAAAAATGTTTGAGTACATTTTTAGTAAACAAATCAAATAATTTTGGTAAATTAAATTTAAATCAATTAATATCCCATACATAATTCGTGTATATATCTTATTTCCTTTTTGACAAAATCAATTTTATATGTAAAAACCAATTTATCTCATTTTTTTTATTAGTTTACCATATCTATTAAATAACATGCAATTCCATTTTTCTTACATGATATCCTCACGCTGATTCTATTTCTTTTTTCCATAATATATTTAATATCCTTTTTTCGTTAATATATTTAATATATCTTTTTTAAATTCAACTTTTTTATATTTTGATCTCAATATACAATACATTTCATATACTTCTCCCTTAAAACAAAATCGGATAATTTTTTGTTTGATGTCAATCCTAATCAAATTATTAGAAAAATAAATTCAAGTAAATTAAAAATTTCAATGCAAATCATATCAGATATGGTCATCTTTTTATTTGTTTAATGAATTAATTTTAGGATGTATATTCAGTGCATATATGCTATGATTTTTTTCAAGTAATAGTGATATACTCCCAATACAACTCTTTTAGCAACTCTTGATACACATTATAAAATGTTTGCTAATAATTATCTTCCGTAAAATGGTCCTACTTCTGTTTCATAATAAAATCCATGTGAATCTCTAAAAAATGATAGATTTTTAGGTATTGAAAATTCAAATCAATTGATATCCCTTAAAAATTGACAGATTTTATGAGTATTCAAATCAGTCCCGATTTTCTATCCTTTTTTATTTAGTAACAAAATTTGTTAGCTGTAAACTTTGTGTCAACCATTATCCAATTAGTTAGAAAATTAAAATCAAAGCAATTTAATGTCTATCTTCGATTACATTACCAAATATCTGAAAATTCAATTTTCAAATGTTTTTTCATATCTTTATTTTTAAATTCAAATTTGTAGGTAGATGGCACATGCAAAATCACTATATATACATTGGTGTGATCATTAAACCAGACATCCACAGAAAATAATGCATCCTACAAAACAAACTTTTGAATCAGTTTTTCCATTCCCATTCAAAATGACTTTGGTTCTCGGAAAAATCAAATATATAAAAGAACTAATAGGCCAATGATCAAGCTATGCATCATTATAATGTTCCAACGTATTGAATACGAGGACAATCTTAAGATTATATTTCATGATTCTGAAGTAATTTGTCATCATATTATTATTTATATGCATCATTTTATGCTATATTTTTTTATTATTTTTTATTTAATTATGGAATACTTTTTTAGGAAGGATGAATATTGGTATAATGCGACACAACAATATCCACAATTCATCGACGAAATTGAAGAAAGTGCCCTTATATCTTTAAAAACTACCAAGTGAAAACAATATTCATATACAAATCAACAATTTACACTTGGAGGATCATTATTAACGGTCAAACCAAGTTTCACAAGTGGAAAGACGAATCCATATTGTTTTGTACGTTCTAAATCTTTATTTATTTTTATTTCAAAATTTTATATATTTCATTCAAAATAATAAAATCTATTATGACAATTAATATGATGAGTTGTCTTAATTTTTTTTTTTAGATGATTGGATTGGTTGTTTCTATACAACCTACTCAAATGAAGATTATCAATGAAGTTTTTCAAAATCAAGAGGAACCTTGTCCTCATCATGCAAATGTACCGTGCGAATGAGTGAGGAGATATTTCATTAATTTTATTATAATTAAACTCAATCAATAACTCAATATTTTTTTTATCATCTAATCCAATATATTTTTTTAGTTAGGTGAGGTTCAAATAACCACATCAAATGATGTCACCCTACTCATCGGTGTTGAAGTTTCCAAGATTCGAGATTTTTGTAGGAGGTACATCATTGGTAATGAAGTGTTCAATAATATATAATTCTATTGTCATTGTATTTAATAATTAGTAATGGCATGATTTTTTCTTTATTATATAATTTAAACTTTAATTCAAAATTGATTTTTAAAATAGACGGATATAATAAAAGTCCCGTGCATCTTACGGGTACTGTACTAGTTTATTCTGCATCTCATAGACAAATAAACTACATGTTGCAAATATTTTTCCCAATTTTAATAATATATTGAAATAGTATGTCAGAATTCATTTACCAGAATATAATGTAACTGATTCATGAATTTGAACACACACAAGTATGTAATAAGGTTCAAGATATCTTCACTTTCAAATATCTACTCTTTTTTTCATAAATAAATAAAATAAATTAAAAACCAAATACACCAAATTCAATATTATTAATTCAACACTCTTATACAATAATCATTTTTTCAGGACAAATTCACAGCATAAGAACATGTATATATTTCATTAATCTTTTTGGAAACTCGTATGCGCTTATGTTTGGCCGATCTTCCGAACAATTAACCGGAAAAGACCAATCTCACGCGAAAAATTCAATGTCGATTATCCAATCCGCATCGAATTCTTTAACCGCGTTCATCGAGACACCCAATTTTACCATAATAAACGACTCGCACCCCATCTATATAATAAATACACGCTCGGCACAAGAACTCGAACAACATCTGCAAAACAATACACAACACTAAATATTCTTTCGCAAAACGGCTGATATGAATGTAAACTCGATTATGCGCAAGAAACTAGCCGACGAGGCTCAAACGGAGGGCACTTTCGACAAGAAAGTGGACGAACTCTTGAAGGAAGCAAACAATCTCACGACCCTCTGTGGGGTCGAGATGGGCATTGTCGTCCACAAGGAAGGGGAGGACAATGCCGTGATGTGGCCTTCACTGGAGATTTCCACCGGGAGTCTCCAAAAGTTCTTGAACTTTCCGGAACCGCAAAGGGCGGAGGGGATGTCCACGCACGTTGACTTTCTTGAGCAACTTGTGGCGGTCGAGGCCAGTAAAGTGGCCGAGGACCGGGAGAGGCTCCAAATGAGGAAGGCCCAACATTTGCTGGCCCAAGTGACGACGGGCGAAAAAAGAATGGAGGAGCTCGATTTCCATGAATTGCAAGGTTTGGCTTCGTTTGCTTCCGAGATGCTTAGAAATATCGAGAATCGGGAGAAAGAGTTGGAAGGCGAAGGGTCGGGTAGTTCGAGCGGTTGAGTTGTTCGGGTTTTCGAGCTGCTGCCAGATAATAATAATAATAATAATAATGATAATAATAATAATAATAATAATAATGATGATGATGGTTTTGATGATTTTGAGCTGCTGTTTAGTGCAGCCTTTGGAAAATTTCTTTTGGTTTGCTTTTGATTTGATTTGGTGGTGTTGTTGATGTTGGGATTTATGTTTTGATTTGAACTTTGAAAATAAATGTTGGGATGAGTAAGCTTTTTGTCACAATTAGTAGTAAGAAGCATGTTGTAGCTTTTTCTGCTTCATTTTCTGGGATTTTGGGGAATAAATTAATCTTTAAAATCAATAAAAACATTGGATTAGTGTGTCACTCTGAGATCAACTTCTGTAAGGTTCCAATCAAGAAGCATCAGAAAAGTAGAAATAAGATAACAATGAAATTATAGACAACTAACTCACCAAAACATTTTCCAAAAAGCCTTTTTTTGTATTATTGATGATCACTCACCAAGGCCAGAAAAGCTCATTTCACCAAGAAACTTAAAACTTTCCAGAGCATTTACAAAACACAACCTATCTATTGATTGAATCAGTCTACCACCACAAGCTTCTGATACTCCTCCCCTGCAATGGCAGCCTCCATGACCACCACAGGATCTATTACCCCACCTCCCTCCAAAAACAACTTCATCAGATTCTTCGAGAACCCGCTCACGAGCGCCACCCCCGACTGGTTTGCCGGCACCGGCGTAGCCCGTGAGTCCCTCAGGTTCCAAAACACAATCTCAGGCACACAATCCCCATAGCCCTTCTCACCAAACTTCCTCACAATGGCCTCGTAATCAGTCTCCCACGGGTTCATAGACGCCACATCAAATTCCATGTCACTGAAAACAAACACTCTCTTGATCATCTGATCCGGCTTCAGTTTCCCGTCCACCGCCACCTGAAGCAGCAAGTCGAACACCCTCTGGAAGTTCGTGTTCATGCCCCATTCCATACCCATCACAAACCGAGTCTTCTCCTTCAGGCTGGAACCCTCGACTGTATGAAGCTTGGGATTTCCGCTGAATGTAATCACTTTCCCTTTCCAAGGCTCCTCACTCAATTCAGACACCAAAAGCCCGAGAGCAACCGATACATCCATTGGAATCCCGGACATACTCCCCGACACATCACAGACTGCCAAACAATTATTCAGCTTCCCAATCTTCGCCATGTCATCCACCATCCTTCTCCACTGAAGCTCCGCCACCTGGCCGCCATCATCCAGGCCGGAAATTATCTCGTGCGGCAGCAAGGCACCGGCTGCAATCTTGGCTTCACCTCTCTCTACCTTGTCCAGATACTCCCGAAACCTCGACTCGTCGTGTTTGAAGAATAAGCGTGTGTACGTTTTCATGGCAACGGAGGCAACCCTGTTGTAAGGGAGGGAACCCCAATCGTTGGCCCCAATGTAAACCTCTGGAAGCTCCAGGGCTTTACGAAGAGGGACGAGCACTTCCTTCCTTAAACGGTCCCTCACTCGATAAGCGTAGTGGGCCTCCTCCACTCCTTCGTACTCCGGATATTCGACTCTCGGGAAAACCTTTTTCGAGATTGTCTCACACAGAAGCGTGATCCGATCATAGGAGGAGTCTATAGAAGGGCACCATTTCGCAGCCAGGCTGATTTTGTTGAGATACCCCGAGTTCAGCATCTCCATGTCCGATCTCAGGAACCGTGCGAAACAGTCCGACACACAGTTGTGCAGGAACTTGAAGTCGGGATCTCTGTTAAACCTGTCGACGACCCTTTTGGCACGAAGGATTCTCTTCTCCTCTCGGCTGAAGATTGGCTCGATTGGCTTGATTTTCTCCTTCTTCGATTTGTTGCTCCTCTTCAGTCTGCCGCAGAACCTTCTCCGGCTGCCGTAATAGTCTTCGCCATACAATTTCTTCATCTCCTTCATATGTTCCCTTTGCTTCCTGTACAATTTATTCGTCTCCTTCATTTGTTTCCTCTGCTTCCATTGCTCGTACGCCTCCTTGGCCTGCTTCCGGGCGTCGGGGCCTTCGAGAATCCGGAAGAGAATCTCGAGCAGGTCCTTGAAGTAGCCGAAACTCGCCAGCGAGTCTATGTTGCGGGCTAGAGTTTTGGGGTGGTTCTTGTGCAGCCAGAGCATCGCCGTGTAACCGCCTTCCCTATCCGACTTTCCGGTGCCCCGCACCCCACGGAGGTTGCAGACGAGCTTCAGGGCCTTCAGCGGGTCCTGCTCCCACGCGAGCTTCAGGCGCTCGGTTAGGGTCTCCGGCGATGTGTCGGGGACGACGTGGAAGAAGAAATCAAGGCAGGGGTTCCCCGTCGAGAGGAAGGTCGGCGATAAATTCTCCGTCAGACCCATTGGAGCGCTTTTCAAGTTCGCTACCAGGACATCCAAGTACGATCTCGGGGCGGCTGTTGTGGGAGCAGTGGCGGTGGTGGTGGCGGTGGCGGAGGGGGTGGGGGTTGCCGGGTAGATTTCCGGTGGTCCGACGAGAGAAACTGAGGCCGGCGGCGCCATGGAGGGAAGGAGAAGAGAGCGGTAAGGTTTTATTTAACTTTTTTTAACGAACTTTTACGTCGAGTAGTTGAGATTCCGGCGAGTTGCCGAGTTGGTATGCTGAAAGGTAGTTTAGAGGGCTTTATATAGGGAAGATATATGCTTGGAGACCACGGAAAAACGGTTTTCCGTATTTTTAGTTTTATAATTAATTAATTATACTGTAAAATCAGTCATATAAGGAAAACAATATTGAAAATATATATGGAAAATGTGCGTACCTTGGAGGCGAAGGAAAATTAGTTTTTTTTAATGAATATTGGTTTTGGAACGATTGTGGGTGCGAGCTGTGGGGCCTTTTTCAAGGATTACAGTTGGCCTGGGACTTGGGATACCGACAGATTGTAGCGGAGGTTGATAACCAGTGTGTGCCGGAGATGGTTCTTAGCCCTCATGCCCACTTTGGCGCCCACGAGTCACTTGTTCGAGGCTTCGAGCCATTCAAAGCCTAATCCACAGAGATTGGAGCGCCCGTCTCCAGCATGTGCATCGAGAAGCCAACTTTGTTGCTGACTATTTGGCGACACTTGCGGCATCTTCCACAATAGGGTTACCAAGGTTATCTTCACCCCCCAATGACGTGGAAGCATGGCTTGAACATGATCTTAAGGGCGTGGCTTTCCCACGTCGTACGTTAGTCTCTTAAATCTTTAGGCGCCAAGCCTCTATCATTGTACCAAAAAAAAAAAAAAGAAGGAAAATTAGTTTTCTATTCAAATTATATGGAGAAAATATCTAAAATTGTTATGGGATTGAGACATGGGTTTTGACTTTCGCCCACAAAATTGCATAACCTCAATTGTCGTACTTTAATATCACAAATTTAAATTATTTAAATAAGTCGTTCCTCTATTGAGAATTTTGCTATATGTCTATCAAATGATTCTTAGCATAGTATACACGAATTCGTATTCGACCCTGTCACTGGCGGATCTAAATGCAGGCCAGTCTAGGCAATTGCCGAAGCTGGATTTTTTGTGCTAACTACACACTTCATATAGCTAACATATGTTGATTAAAAATTTATATTTAATATTAGCCATGGGGTGGAATTGTAGAGGGTTGGGTGGGCCCTCTACAATTTCTCAAATCAGAGAGTTACTGAAAACTCATCACCCAAATTTTCTCTTTCTCTCAGAAACAAAAAAATCAAAAGCTTTTGTTCATACAGTTAGTAAAAAGTCGGGTTATGAAGACAGATTCATGACTCTGGATCCCTCAGGTTTCAGTAGTGGGCTTGCCTTATTTTGGAATGCCCAAGTTGTCATCCAGCAAGTAGTTTATAAAGATTTCTATTTAGCAGTTGAATTTATTCTTCCACAAGCTGTCCCTAAGTTGGGAATTTTTGTTTATCTAGCCCAGTTTGAACCATCAGAGCTTCTCAATGGGAAGTACTGATTGGTGACAAAGTCTTGTGGGGGTAACAACTGGTTTTCTATTGGGGACTGGAATGACATCCTTTCCCTTTCTAACAAATCAAGTGGCAATTTCAGACATCCTAGCACCTTCTCAGGTTTCTCAAACTTCATAAATAGAATGGCCATAGAGGAGATCAGGATAGAAGGGCCTCCTTTTACATGGTGTAAAAACAGAGCCTAACCTGACTTAGTTGAAGAGAAGCTAGAGAGAGCCTTTGGCTTATTTGAGTGGAATCAACTTCATCCTAATGCTATTGTTACCAACCAGCTTAGAAGTGCCTCTGATCACTCTGCTCTCCTTCTTGATCCGGGTCTCCCCAGGGAGAGGAAGAAAACTATGTTTTACTTTGACAAAAGGTGGCTTTGCAGAGAAGGTTGTAAAGATGTGGTCAAGAAAGCTTGGCTCACTGAGGTTCATGGCACTCCATTCTTCCAGTTAAAAGAGAAAATCAAACTCACTAGGATTGCCTTCTCAAGTGGAGTTCAGGTTTTCAATTCCAAAGATAGGAAACTATTGCAGCACTTACTCTTAAACTTGAAATTCTGAATGTGGATAAATCATCTATTGACTGGGAAGAATGGGAGGCTACAAAAAAAAGCCTAAACTTAGCTCACAAACAAGAAAAACTTTTCTGGCAGCAAAAAGCAAAGTCTAGGTGGCTCAAGGAGGGGGATGCTAATACCAGGTTTTCAATGCTCTGACATTAAAAAGGAGGAGGAATAATGCCATAACCAGACTGGTCTCTCCCCAAGGCAGAATCTTCACTTCTCAGAAGGATATAGAGAGGCACATTGCAGAGTTTTATCAGAATCTTTTCACCACTGAAGGCTATTGGGGATGTGAATCCATCCTCCCTCTTATTCCCACCTCAATAACAACTGAGATGAATCAAGCCTTGCTCAAACCAGTGGAAGAAGAAGAAGTACAAAACTCTCTGTTCAGCCTGTATTCTGAAAAATCCCCTAGTGATGATGGCATGACAGCTGCCTTCTACCAAAATTTCTGGAGTCTTATCAAAAAGGATCTCTTGGCAGCTGTTTTAAGCTTTTTCCAGTAAGGTATGATCCTTAAATACTGGAACCACACTGTGATCTCTTTAATTCCAAAGAGTATGAATCCTGGAAACATCGGGCATTTCAGGCCAATCAGTCTGTGCAGTGTTGTATACAAACTAATCTCTAAAATTCTTGCCCAAAGGCTGAAAGTTTGTTTGAACCACTGCATTAGTGATTTTCAAGCTACATTTGTAGAAGGCAGGCAATTAGTAGACAATGTTATTATTGCTCAGGAAGCCTTCCATTTCCTGAATAGGCATTCTTCTGGTCTTAACTATTTCATGGCACTTAAACTGGATCTTATCAAGACTTTTGACCGTGTGGAGTGGTTATGTCTGAAAAAAATAATGCTGCAAATGGGCTTTCACATGGATTTTGTTAAGCAGATTTTGATCTGTGTTTCTTCAGCCACATTTTCCTTTAAAATTAATGGCTCTCTCAGTGGCTTTGTTACTCCCTCAAGAGGTATAAGGTAAGGGGATCCTCTATCCCCTTACCTGTTTATAATAGTGGTTGAGCTTCTATCTCTTTGGTTTTGCACTCTCTTAATAATGTATGTTCAAAGGGATGAGAATTTTCAGGAATGGTCAAATGCTCTCTTACCTTCTTTTTGCAGATGATTCTTTATTTTTGTGCAAAGCAGGACCTGCTCAAGCTGCTATACTTATGAATCTTCTTGTGCAATACAGATTATTTACAGGGCAAACAGTGAATCTGCAAATTTCTGCAATGTTCTTCATTAAGAACACACCTCAGCACCTTCAGGCATATATCTGCTCAGCTTTTAATGGTCTTACCTCTCACAGATCCAGCTGTTATCTTGGCCTCCCTCTGGGCATTGGTAGAGCCAAAAAAGAAGTTTTTGATTTCCTTTCTTCTGTCAGGAACAAGCTTATGGGTTAGAAGTCAAAATTCCTCAGGCTTGCTGGTAAAGAGGTGCTAATTAAGGCTGTTACTCAAGCCCTTCCAATTTTCTCTATGTCTTGTTTTAAGTTGCCACTAACTCTGTGCTCAGAAATCTCAAGGCGTTGTGCCCAGTTTTGGTGGAAAACGGGTTCTAACCAACCTCAGAGCATTATATTGGAAAAAATGGAGCTTCTTATCTCTCCAAAAGCAGCAAAAGGGTCTTGGTTTTTAGGACCTGAACCTGTTCAATAAGGCTTTGATTTGCAAACAACTGTGGAGAGTGGCTTCAAATTCTAATCTCTTGGTTAGCAGACTTCTCAAAGACATGTACTTTCCACATACCTCTATTGTTTATGCTTGTAAGAATCAAGGGGGATCATGGATGTGGAACAGTTGGATGGAGGTTTTGCTTTTATTTTCTAAGGGGTTAAGGATTGAGGTAAAAAAAAATAGGCTTACTACCAGAATTGATGATTTTAACTGGGTGGCTAACCTTCATAAGCCTTGTCTTACTTTAATCCCAATTGCTAGAGGCCATTTGGTATTGGTTAAGGATATGCTGCAGTCCAATGGTAATCTGTGGAATGAATGGCTTGTTAAGCAGGTTTTTTATGATACTGACAACAAAGCTATTCTTGGCATTACTTCTCTTCACTCTGGCAGAAGTGACTTTACTGGGGGTTGGAAAAGAAGGGTAACTTTTTTGTGTCTAGCACTTACAAGTATCTATCATCTCTTAAATTCTTTCAAGCAGATTTTCCTGAAAGTAGCTCTGTTTCATCTCACAAGCTGGCAATCAAATATAGACACTGGAAGCTTTCCTGTGGAAATGTCTAACTAATACTCTCCCAGTAGCTGTGCAGCTCAAGAAAAGAGGAGTCGATCTGGATATTACTTGTGCAATCTGTGGTGAAGATTAGGAATTTCTTGAGCACCTTTTTTTCAAATGAACAAGAGCATTGAGAGTGTAGGACCTCTGCCCTGTTCAGTGGGATGGAATCAGAAGCAGGACAGACTCCTTTGCTGGCCGGTGGTATCAAGTGTGTTCCTTGGATCACTCTGAAGTGGCCGAAGCTCGAATTCAACTCTCCACGTACATGCTTTGGTGGCTTCAGAAGTCCAGGAACCTCTGGATTTTTCAAAAGTCTTTGATTCCAGGGCATGTTTTAGTGCAGATAGCTCACTCGAATTGGCTTCAATTCATTTCAGTTGCTTGTTAGTTTAGCTTTGTTATTTTGATTGTGTTGGTAGTTGTTGGCAGTGTGATTGTAGCCCTTAGCTAGGCTTTGTAGCAGTGGTTAGGGTTACTCTCTTTGTTTTATTTTGCTCTTTGGCTTTTCTTTATAGTCTCTTAGTTGTAGTTCTAGTGTGTTAGTTGAGGTTCTAGACCGTCTTTGGTGTGTCTCTCAGTTTTCTCTTTCATAAGTTGTTATGTCTCGTTGTATTCGAACGTTGTTTTTTTTTTTTCAAAACGATAGAGGCACTTTATTAATAAAAATCGCACAACATGCAAAGAGAAGCAGCCAAAGTCTGAATAGTACAACCAAAGACTGATAAAACTGGGAGGTGGATCCAAAGATC